TTTATTTTTGTATCAACCTTTTATCCTGCAACTTTGCTAAATTCATTTATCAGTCTGACAATTTTTTTGTATATTCCTTAGAATTTTCAGCATACAGCATCATGTCATCTATGAATAAAGAACAGTTTTACTTCTTCCTTTTGCATAGGGTAGAACCTAATATGCCTGGTTTAGTGTGATATTGTGCCCCTCCCCGCCCCCCCCTTCCTTGTTGTCATGAGCTGAGCAGCTTTTCTCTGCCATGCCCTTCTACTTTAGAATAGACATATAGAGTAAGAACCAAAAAAGCACTTGAAAAAAAATCCATTCATTCCTGAGGACCTATATTAAATATTAACACTCTTGAATGTAAGAATAGGGGCTGGGGTTGTAGTTCAGCCGTAGAGTGCTCACCTAGCACGTGGCTGAGTTGGATCCTCAACACCACATAAAAATAAACTAGAGGTATTGTGTCCAACTTCAACTAAAAAAAAAAAAAAGAAGAGCATGAAGAAGACCTGAAACCTGTTTGAGAATAGTCAGATTAGAGTAACCTAAAATTCTAATAACTGCCTAGAATAGGTAAAGATTCTTAATCTAAAATCCCCAGCACTTGTATTAAACACACACACACACACACACTTTTTTTTCCCCCTTAACCTCTGAATGAAATTTGATATTTCCTTTTATATTGAATGCAGGCAACAAACTACAGGAATAATATTAGCAGCAACTTTGTCACCAGTAAATCTTACTCTTAACTTTCCCTATATTCTTATTCAGAAGTTTGTTTCTTGAAGGGACATGTAGTTAGGTCTTGCTTTTTTATCTTGCCTTTGAATTGGGAGTGTTTAGATGGTTTGCATTGATACAATTATGTATTTGGTTTTAGTCTTGTTTGCATTTTTTCTTACTTTGAATTGAAGTATTTTTAAGTTTCTTTTAATTTTTAAAGTATTTTATTTCAGCTATTGAGTCATGTCTCTTATTTCTTTAATAGTTACATCATCTTATCTGCAAACAGGTTTAATTTTACTTCCTCATTACTTATTTGTATACATTTTGTTTCTTTCTCTTGCATAATTTCTCTGGCTAAAATTTCTAGTACTCCATTGAATATGAATGGTAAGAGTAGACACCTTGGTCTTGTTCCTGATCTTTGAGGAGTGCTTTCAGTTTTTCCCCATTCAGAATGATGTTGGCTCCAGGCCTTTATTATGATGAGGTATGACCTATTTAAATTACTCAGGGCTTTTTAATCATGAAGGAATGTTGAATTTTATCACTTTTTCTACATATATTGAGATGATCATCTGATTTTATCCTTGATTCTATTAAATGATGTATTATGTTTATTGATTTGCATATGTTGAACTAGCATCATTGGAATGAAACCAGCTTGATCTTTGTATATGATCTTTTAAATGTGCTGTTGAATTCAACTTACAAGTATTTTGTTGAATTTTTGCATCTTTATTCATTGGGGATATTATTGTATGGTTTTCTTGTTTCCTTGTCAGGTCTTGTTAGCAGAGTGATGCTGGTTTTGTAGAGCAAGTTTGTAAAGTTTCCTTCCCTTTCTGTTTTATGGAAGAGATTGAGGAGCATTGGTATTTATTCATTCTTTAAATCTTGGTAAAATTCAGCTGTGGTGATGACATTTGGTCCTGGGCTTTTCCTTGGAGAATTTTTATTACTGATTGAATCTTATTACTAGTTATTGGCTTATTTAGAGGTTTTTTTTTTTTTAATATCCTCTTGGTTTAATTTTGGTAGGTCACATGTGTCCAGAAATTTGACTCTTTTCTCTAGACTTTCCAATTTGTTCGCATAAAGTTTAAGTGATTATTAAATCATTGAGATTTATTCTCATTCTCCATTTAAGTTTGCTGATGAATTTATTTCTCCTTTTTCTTTATTTTTAAGGAAGGAATCTAAAAAAAAACTTTATTTTACTTTGATTCCTGAAGAATATAGTCATTGTATTTATTTAGCTTTCTATATTGACTGTTTTTTCCATATCTTAAAGATGGTCCATTTTTTTCTGTCTTAATGGCTTTTCAAGAAGTCTGTATTTTTGTTTATCATCTTTTTTCTTTTCACTTTTTTTTTTAATGCTGCTAGAATGGAATATGACCTCACATATGCTAAGCATGCACTGAGCCACACCTGCAGCTCATCAATCTCTATTTTTAAAATTGAAATATAATTGTATCTACTTGTGGGCTACACTGTGGTGTTTTGGTATATGAACATATCATGGAATGATTAAATCAAGCTAATTAATGTATCCATCACCTCACATACTTAATCAGAAGGCTTCAGTTTCTGAGGCACATTTTTAAGTTTGAAGAGAGATCTTCTTTGTTTGTTTCATACTTTGGCAGATAGTGAACAGAAGCCTTAGAGTTGGTATGCTGATTCAAGGTTCACTGTCCTTGAAATTTGAGTAAATACTTCAGAAATTAGGTTCCTCACATCAGGATTGTTCTCAGTTACCCTTTCCAATGCAGTAAGCTACTGAACACTCACCCCAGCATAGCACTAAACATCCTCCTCTCTGGAGCAGGAGATTCTGCAGCTTCATCTAGAGGTCTGAGGCTCCATTGAGAATGATGCTAGCCTGAGGCTTAGCATAGATAGCTTTTACAATGTCTAGGTAAGTTCCTGTTATCCCTAGTTTTTCTAGTGTTTTGAACATAAAGGGATGCTGTACTTTGTCGAATGCTTAAACTGGTGCAGCCAATTTGGAAAGCAGTATGGAGATTCCTGGGAAAGCTGGGAATGGAACCACCATTCGACCCAGCTATTGCCCTTATCGGATTATTCCCTGAAGACCTTAAAAGAGCGTACTACAAGGATACTGCCACATCGATGTTCATAGCAGCACAATTGACAATTGCTAGACTGTGGAACCAACCCAGATGCCCTTCAATAGATGAATGGATTTAAAAAATGTGGCATTTATACACCATGGAGTGTTACGTAGCACTAAAAAATGACAAAATCATGGAATTTGCAGGGAAATGGATGGCACTAGAGCGGATTATGCTTAGTGAAGCTAGCCAATCCCTAAAAAACAAATACCAAATGTCTTCTTTGATATAATGAGAGTAACTAAGAACAGAGCAGGGAGGAAGAGCAAGAAGAAAAGATCAACATTAAACAGAGACATGAGATGGGAGGGAAAGGGAGAGAAAAGGGAAATTGCATGGTAATGGAGGGAGACCCTCATTATTATACAAAATTACACATAAGAGGTTGCGAGGGGAGTGGGAAAATAAACAAGGAGAGAAATGAATTACAGTAGATGGGGTAGAGAGAGAAGACAGGAGGGGAGGGAAGGGGGGATAGTAGGGGATAGGAAAGGTAGCAGAATACAACAGTTACTAGTAGGGCATTATGTAAAAATGTGGATGTGTAACCGATGTGATTCTGCAATCTGTATTTGGGGTAAAATTGGGAGTTCATAACCCACTTGAATCAAATGTATGAAATATGATATGTCAAGAGCTTTGTAATGTTTTGAACAAACAATAAAAAAAAAAAAAGAATCAAATCCGATCCTCAAGACCCACAAGGCTCCCATGTGATGAGGGGGTCCTTCTGGCTTAAAAAAGAAAAAAAAAAAAAGAGGTCTGAGGCTGTACTGTCTGGGGTGAGTTTAATGCCTGATGTATAAAGTGTTATGATTTTTTCTTTTTCTTATATATGCCAAAGATGACAGTGATTATATACTTTTCTTTTTGACTTTTTTTTTTTTTTTTTTTGCAGGGGTGGGCGGATGGGGGGTGGTACCAGATTGAACCCTGGGGCTCTTAACCACTGAGCAATATCTGCAGCCCTTTTTAGTTTCTATTTTGAGACAGGGCCTCACTAAGTTACTTAGGGCCTAAGTTGCTGCAGCTGGCTTTGAACTTGTGATCCTCTTGACTCAGCCTCCTGAGCTGCTGGGATTACAGGCATGCACCACCATGCGCTGCTTCTTTTTGACTTTTATTCAGGGATACATATTAGTTTAACTTTGTTCCTAACTAAACTTTGTTCTTTTCTAAACTTTTTATCTTAAACCACTTATAAGATCTTTTTTTCTCTCTCTCTTTGATATCTTTTTTTAGGAATTTGATTATTATGGCCAAGTGTTCTAGCTGTTTACTATGGAATGAAAAGTATGATCCTTGTTACTCCACCAAGGCCATTGGAAATTATTTACTGTCTTTTTAATCTTTTAGTATAGCCATGAAGATAAAAAAAAAATAAAGTTTATGTTCCTTTTATTTTCTGCAGCCTTTTGAGGCTTAAGTATATTATTAACACCTGCTGATAAATGTAACAGTTTCATCTGATCTATCGTATTTCTATCCTAATGATTTTCAAGATGACATTTTACATGGTTTAGTTATAATATGATATAAAATTACTGTCTGGATGTGCAGGCATATAGCATATACTTTATATTAAAGCTCATGAGTAACTGTTTCACGAAAGTACATAGATGGTTTAAGTTATAGCTTTAAAAAGAATTGGATTCATGATTATAGTTATAACACAACTATTGGGTGTTTTGTTTTGTTTTGTTTTGTTGTGGTGGTGGGGATTGAACCTAGGTCCTTGCAAATGCTAGGCAAGCAGTTGACTGAGCTACATCCCCAGCCCTTTTACATTCTGAGACAGGATCTTGCTAAGTTGCCATGCTGGTCTTCAATTGGAATATTCCTGCCCCAGCTTCCCAAGTACCTACAATTATAGGCGTATATCACCACACCTGGCCTCAACTATTGGTCTTAATCCTTTTATTTTCTGGTCACTCCTAGAAGTATCATGAAGAGGTTTATAACTGATGCCTAAACAAAGATGATCTTCATGAATTAAAAAGTCTGGCTATTGTGAAAACTTAGCTAAAATCTACAAAAGTTCTTGAATGGTATTAAGGGGAAAAAATAGCAAAACAAAACAAAACAAAATCACTGTTCTTAGCATATTTGTTAATTTTTAAATTATTTGTGGGTTTTTTTTTCCAGATTGTCAGTATTTAAACAGACCACATCATGCGTGAGTACAAGCTAGTGGTCCTTGGTTCAGGAGGCGTGGGGAAGTCTGCTCTGGTAAGTTAGCCACCTAACTATAACCAATTAGTATAATAAAAGCAGAAGTCTGGCATTTGCTTATTTTCATACTTAAAATCACAAAGGGGAAAAGGTGGCATATTTTACATACCTAATATCTATCCAACAAGAGACAGGGAATTAACCAAAGATGTGTGGTTGAATATTGATTGGTCATATTTTTATTATTTTTTACTTACCAAACATTTATCAGATACTTTATATATTAAGCTCCAATTTCATGATTCAGAAATGAATATGATTGTTTTTATTTTTAAGAATTTACATCCCATTGGAGGAAATTGTTTATTAAAGATTGTAATGGAGTAAGTCCTCCTCTGGCTCCACCCCAAACTTATGTAGAATGAAAGTTTTATTTTGCATACATGCTTATTCACTCAGTAAATAATTATTGAAATTCCCACAGTGATCCTAACAGTAAACCAAAACAGTCACAGTCTCTCTTTGAACATTCATTAAAGATAATAAATACACAGTTAAACAAAGAGTTGCTTGATTATAGTTGTGGGAGAGGTGTTCTGAAAGAAGAGTGTTAAAGGAGAGCATGTCATAAGTGTATCTAAACATTTGAACAACTGAGAGAAGGGTCAGTATAGTTGGAGCAGGAGTGAATAGGGAGGAGTGGAAGAAAATGAGGTAATAGGTAGGCAAAGGCCAGATCATGATTTGAAAACTGTGTAAGAACTTGGAGTTTATCCCTTTTGATAACAGTGAGAAGACATGGAAGACAGAGTTGTTTTTTTGTGGGGAAAGGGCATTTATTTGAATGGATATGTTTGAATGAGTGCATTTTGACTGGTCATCATAACTTTGAGGAGGTTCAGAATGGATACGGGATAAAATTGGAAACTAATTAAATATATTAAGTTATTGCTTACAAAGCTTAGATTGGATCTATGGTGTGAAGAAAAGATACATAGATGATTTGAGTATTGAATAGGAAGTAGAACTGACATAATTTTGTGCTGGATTGATATGAGAACTAGAAAAAAAGAAATAGTCATGTTACATTTTAAGTTTGTGAGACGTTCAAGTAAATACATCAAATAAACAAATGGATCTTAAAATAAGAGCTTAAAAAAAGAAGCCTATGCCGTATGCAGTGGCTCATGTCTGTAATTGAAGCAGCTCAGGAAGCTGAGGCAAGAGGATCATGAGTTCAAAGCCAACCTCAGCAACTTAGCGAGGCCCTTAGCAACAAGCAAGAACCTGTCTCTGAGTAAAGTATAAAAAGGGCTGGGAATATGGCTCAGAGGTTAAGCCCTCTTGTGTTCAATCCTTGGTACCAAAAAGAAAAAAAAAAAAAAAAAAAACCTTTGGGGTGCCATCAGTATATCAGCGTCATTTGATTTCTTGAGAATTACATTATTATTTGGAGTGTAAATTAGTACCTCTGTGGGAATGTTTTAGAATATCTATGTTTTCAAATGCACATGTAACTTTCAATTCAGAAATTCCTTTTATAGAAATTTATCTCACATAAGATTCACATAGACAAAATGATGTGTTCAAAGGTATCCGTTGCAACACTCTTGATAATGACAAGCATTTAGAAACTAAATGCCTACCTGTAAGGGATCGTTAAGTAAATTTTAATACATAGTCAGCATAGAATACCACCCACCAATTAAAGGAATGCAGTAGCTCTTCATATACTGATTTGTAGTGATATCTAAAATGTATCATTTAGATAAGGAAAAATAAGAAGGTACCAAACAGCTTAGACTACCATTTAACAACAAAAAAAAAAAAGGTAAAGGTTGAGGAGAGATACCTATAAAATATGTAAGCTGTCTCTGCAAGGTTACATAAACTATGGATAATATCATTTACTTCTTAAGAATTGAATTGGGTAGTTGGGAACAGGGTGGTAGGTAGACTAAGATCTTTTTTTAAAATCCATGGGAGTGAATGAGGTTCTCTAGGGAGAGACCAGAGAGAGAAGAGCCCAGGACTAAGCTCTGTGTACTTCTCAAACTTCAGAGAATAGTAAGATTGTGGGAGCTAGTGTAGTCGGTATCTTATTCTGTACCTCAGTGTAAAAGAGTGTATCCTTACCTACTCAGAAGTCAAGATTGAAAAAAGGAAATAAATGATCTGGGAACACGGAGATAGTTAGACGTGATAAAAGCAGCAGCTTTAATTAGGTAGTGGTGCCATAACCATACTGAGGTGGGTTAAAGAGTAAATGAGGGACTGGAATTGTAGCTCAGTGGTAGAATGCTTACCTAGCACATGTGAGGCACTGGGTTTGACCCTCAGCACCACATATAAATAAATAAATTATGAAGAAATAAATAAATAAATGGAATTGAGGTGTTGTGTCCATCTACAACTTCAAAAAAAAATTTTTTTAAGCAAATGAGAGGGGTCTAGGGTTATATCTTAGAGGTGGAACACTTGTCTAGCATGTGGGAGGCCCTGGGTTAAAGCCCTGGCAACTCCTCTGTTTACCCCATCCCCACCCCGCAAACCTGAGAACTAGGAAATGAAACTACTATGCAGACAGCTAAAGAAATTTGACTATTACAGAGAAGAAAATATTCAGAAGCTGGCAGGATCATGAGGTTAAGGAAGGCTTATGTTTAATTTGGAGACTTGAGGTAGTAGTAGAACATGTCTGCATATTTTTATGTTGGAGACAGTAATCCAGTGGAGAGGAAAATGATTACATAAGACCCAGTATGAAAGCCTATTCATTTTTAGAGGAGTAATGAAACTTTACTTTTAGAAGTAAGAAATGTGGGGTTGTTTTTCATTTTTGAAAGTCTCATTAATGTCTGACTTATAGAAGGGAGTTAGGTTTTCATGCCTTCTTTTTCCAGTTTCTTGAGTACCTCTTAATATCATTAGGAAAATAGTATGATCCTCAGGGACCCTTTCCCCTAGATCAATGTTATTTAAATCATATCATACCAAAAAGATGAGGTGATCAAATTTTTGATAAAAATGATGATTAAAGTTGGTGGCACATTCTTGTAATACCAGCAGCTTTGGAGGCTGAGGCAGGAGGATCACAAATTCGAAGCTAGCCTCAGCAACTTAGCAAGGCCCTAAGCAAATTAGCAAAATCCTGTTTCAAAATAAAACATTAAAATGGCCACTAGTTTCAATCCCCGGTAGCAAAAAAAAAATTAAAAATGATGATTAATAGGGCTGGGGATGTGGCTCAAGCGGTAGCGCGCTCGCCTGGCATGTGTGCCGCCCGGGTTCGATCCTCAGCACCACATACAAACAAAGATGTTGTGTCCGCCGAAAACTAGAAAAATAAATATTAAAATTCTCTTTCTCTCTCTCTTAAAAAAAATGATGATTAATAATCATTTTAGTGTGATTATATCTTGAATTCCCTTTGAATAATAGCAATTTAGGAAGAAAAAAGTTCAAAGTTTACTATATTTCTCAAGCTCAAATAATGTAAAAAATATTTCTTTTGAGTAATTATAAATGACCTCAGTCTACATGTTTACCTTTGCTTTTAGGCAGTAATAAAGCAGACCTGTTTTAAAGCTGCCTAGAATATATCTCACAACCATCTTCTCTACTTCTTTTCATTTACTGAATGATAAAATGTGTTGTTGCTAGAATGTGCTTATAGAAATTTTAGAGATAAAATACCATAGTCACCCCTTATCTGCAGGGGATAGGTTCCAAATCTCCCAAGGGATGTCAGATAGTACTGAATCCAATATTTATACTATGTTTTCCCCTGTACCTGCATGGCTATGATAATGTTTGTTATAAATTAGGTACAGTAAGAGATTAAGAACAATAACTGCTGTAAAGCATACAATTGTGGTTTTTTTCTTTATTAAGTAGAGAAACTTCACTTTTTTACTTTAGAGAAACACTTTGCAGCTTTTCTTTGGTACATCCTAATTGCAGATATCACTACTTTTATGCTTTGGGGCTTTTATTAAATAAAACGGGTCATTTAAACACAAGTGCTATGATACTTCAGCAGCTGATCTGATAACTGACATGACTACAAAGTAACTACGTATGGGAAGATAGGATATACAGTGTAGATACAGTGGGCAAAGGGATGATTCATGTCTTGTGTGGAACACAGCAATATGACATGAGACTTCAGCACACTATTCAGAATAGCGTGATGTTTAAAACTTATGAATTATTTATTTCTGTGATTTTTCCATTTAATGTTTTTGGGTCATGATTGACTATAGGTAAGTAACTGCTGTTGTAGTAATAAAAAACCAGAGATAAGGGAGAACTACTGTAGATAATGTCTGAATAAGATGAGTAGGCAGTGTTTTCCAATAGGAAGATTAGTACTTTGGAATCAGGAAGATTGTACGTTTGAGTGTCTACTAGTAAATGGGAAAAATAACTATTTGGGAGTGAATGTAAACTTGGATATTATAAATTTAAAGTGACTAGCCTAGAACATAAAAGATATTCAATAAATTTATATTCCCTTTTCTTTTTCCCCATATTGGTATGACTTAAAAATTTAGAACCATTCTCTGTCTCTTAAGAACAAGGGATGAAAGTTATTTAATTACATAAAGAGGTAATAGGTTAAATATTGAATTTTAATTTTTTAATAATTAGAATCTTATTTACATCATCTGTTTTGAAACTAAATATAGTTAATTGTTTAGCAGTGTAATAGTTGCAGCAATATTGTTGAAATTTTAACTTGACCATCTTTTTTTAATAAGTGTACTCTTAGTTATGTATCCATCCTTATAGTGGAAAATAATAATTATACTTTGTGTTTGTGTATTTACCCAGAATTTTAACATAATTTCATTTAATATTTAGAACTTTGTGAGGTTAATTAATATTCAAGGAGGTTTAATATTTCTTCCAAGCCCTTAATTTTTCTGTTTCCATTCCCTCAGACAGTTCAGTTTGTTCAGGGAATTTTTGTTGAAAAATATGACCCGACGATAGAGGATTCCTACAGAAAGGTAAAATGTGAAACTCTGTATGCATGCTTATGAGTATTTTATTATGACTTTAAAACTTGATCCATGAAATTGCTTTTTTAAAAGATTGAAGAATTATAGAAATGTGCTATGTCTGTTTTTAAGTTTCACCTAGTAAATATTTATAGAGTGTTGCTTACATATAGAGCGTGTCATGTTCTGTTATTGATTAGTAATTTGTTCTTTACTGTATACATTTTCCTAGTGGGAAATTTTTTTTTTAAGTTGGCAAAAACCGCATAAAATAGTAGGTATATTTTCAGCTTTTATGCTTAAAGTTATTCAGTAAGTGAAAGTTTTGATGTTTTGTTTAGTTATATTTTTAAAAAATTTTACTATTAGACGTTCAAAAATTACAATCTGTTTGATACTAGAATGGGATACATGTCATAATTTGTCAAAACCATAGGTTGTATAATATCAAAAGCAGTCTGTATATAAACTGTGGGCTCCTAATGATAATGATGTATCCATGTAAATTCATCAGTTGTGACGATGTGCCTATCTGGCCCAGGATGTTGACAGTAGAAAGAGGCTATGCTTGATGTAGGCAGCAAGAATATAGGAAATCTCTGTATCTTCACCTCAGTTTTGCAGTGAATCTAAAACTGCTCTTAAATATTAAGTCTGTTTTAAAAAGGGAAAAAAATCTGATTATTGATCATGACAAGAGCAATAATAATAATCTATTATAAGACTACCTAGAGTTGTGGGAATTTTTATAATTTTATTTTCGAGGTATATTGAGGGGAGACAGCAAAGATATATATATATACCTGTCCCCAAAAAAGACTAAACCTGTCTTTTAACAAATAGAAAAGGATTGCTTTGTTAAGTGTTTTTAGAATTTATCTTTAATAGTAGTGTAACTTTTGTTGAATTAAGTTCATCTGGCAGAGTAATTTCAGTGTCTTCAAATTGAGAAGAAAACTGCTCTAGATACACGGTAAAACTACAGACCTGATTCATTATTCACTAAATATGCCTGGGTGCAGATTGTGCAAGTTACTTACTTGCCCCATGGGTTGCTTTACTGAAATTTCCCAAAATAAGTTGCTAGTTAAATCTTTATCCACAAAGCAAGGTCTGTAAACGACTTTCTTAGTTCCTTGTTTATTAAAACTTTTCCACACAGTTGATTGTTGATACTTTCTTTAGGCCAACCTCCTCCTCTTTTATAAGACAGCGGGAAAATAGAATTCAGAATATGAAATTTCACCTTAACAGTGTTTTTCTAATGAAGAGACCTTCTTCAGGTCTTGAGGAATTCTTAAATTCAGTGCTATTTAACTCTTCTGAGTTTGCCTTTTATCTTAGATTTTGTAAATACCTTAGTAAAATTTTAGGAACTTGAATATAATGAGTTTGCAAATTTCCTTTTTTTTTTTTTAATTTGTTCTTTTTAGATATACTTGATGCAAATTTTCTTTACCTCAAAATCTCATTCATTTTGAGCCATTTAATGATACTTTATTTTCTCTGAATGTGAATATTCACACTATATGCATTTTTTTCTGTTAGAACTGTATTTGTTTGCAGTTTTTTTTTAATTCCAAAATATACCATTTTCCTAAGAACAAATAAACATCATTATCATGGTCAGAAAATATCCACACTTAATATTAACCATTTTACCTTCTGTAATGTTAACAGAATGTGCTTTAAGACCCCTGTTCCTTATATGGTACCAAATGTAATCCCAACCAGTATAGCACACTGCTGGAAAAATGCTTTGTAGTTGTTAGTTGGTACTTTGGGTGAAGGGGTGGAAGAAAAATAAAATGAACTTTTGATGTTACTTTTTAACTTTTTCTTCTTTTTACTACCAACAGCAAGTTGAAGTAGATTGCCAACAGTGTATGCTGGAAATCCTGGACACAGCAGGAACAGTAAGGACTCCCCCCTCCCCCAAGCATATTCTAATTTGAGAGCAGGATTTTCTCATCTGAATAGAAAGTAATCATTCTGGTTTGTTTTTTTTGTTTTGTTTTTTTTTTGTTGTTTTTTTTTTGAGAGAGAGGGAATTCTCTGAATGTAGGGCTTCTTAAATTTTCTTAGCTATATAAAATAATTTGTGATGTCCATAATGCCCACATACTATGATTAAATTGCATTTTGAGTTCACCTGCAGAATATGTGTTTTGACTTTCCTCTCCTTGTATTGAAGTGAGGAGTATGTTACCAGTGCTTAAAAAAAAAAAAAAAAAAACGATTATTTTAAATCAAAATTTTAGTTAAGGTAGGCATTTCCCTTCCTGGCCCTACCTCCCATGCACACCAGTTAACGATTCAATGAATCCAGCCTCCTACAACTTCTCAAATACTGTATATGTTTTCCTTCAGGCCTGTGCATTTGCTATTTTCTTTGCCTAGGACACTCTTTCTTCTTATATCTGAAAGAGCTTACTTCCTCACCTTTGTGACCTTCTTCATGTTACCTGTTAGCCCTTTCCTTTAGTACATGACCTTGCATTCCTACTCTCTAGAAAAACTCCTTGTCCCTCTCCCCAGCTTTATTTTTCTATGTGACTTTTATTACCATCTGGTGTACTTGATACTTTTTAAATTTTTATTTATTTATTTGTTTGTATGTTTAGTCATCTCTTAAGACTCCTCCAGAGATTTTTGCTTCTCATTTACCAACATATCCTAGGATTGCAACAATATCTGTCATGTAGAGGGCTCTCTATGGATAATTGTTCAATGAGTTAATCTTCTAGACTGTCCTTAGGAAGGAGGTTAGGATTCTCAGTGGGAAGTAATACCAACCATAGCAGTTCTGTAAGGACAGAAACTTAGTTATGTGTTTACTCTTTTGATTAATAAGTAACAGAGACCATGATCTAAAGAGAATATGGTAGGGATAGTAATGCTAGAATTTATAACAAACTATTAATGAAAATCCAGAAAAAAACTTTTTACATCTTTCACAGAAGATGCACTGATGGCAGTGTAGGAAGTTCAATCATAGTCCTGTGACAGCACAGACACTTGGAATAGAATTGAGTGCATCAGACTGGGTGGAACTAGAAATATTTCAGAATGTAGTAGACAAAATAGCGAGTGTAATCATGGGAAACCAGCAAGCCAAGGAAGCAAAAAGCTCACAGAATCTTATAACCTAGCCTTATGTTTAATGCTTCCAGAGATAAGAAGATCCAAAATCTTTAGTAATGAAGACCCAACATATATGCATTTTTAATATTCTGCTCTATGTACCTTAATCTTATAAGACAATGTCTTATTTAATATATATAATTAACATAAAGCAACATTTGTTACCAAAAAAGAAGTGGATTTAAAATTGAAACAAAAGTAATTTTAATTTGATGTGACTATAGCTGGGTGACTAAATGTTACCAACTAATGAATCTAACTGAAAGAGATAATAACTATTGTCATATCTTTTCAAAAGGTTTGAAATGAGGAGGGTAATAAAAATACGTAAATGACTCTTATAAAAAGAGTAGGACTGGGGAGTGTGGCTTAGGAGTAGAGTATTGCCCTGAGTTTTAGCTCCAGTACCACCAAAACCAGATAAAAGTGATAAAATTTGCCACTAGAGATATTGAGACTATGCTGGATGACTAAGTTATAGTTTAGTAGTCTATTTGTGCCTCAGATTTTTTTCTACTTGAGTAGCAGTTTTACTATAAATTTTCCAAACAGTAAACTCAATAGGATTTGCATATGCAAAAAAGAATTTCTTTTTCCTAAAAAGCAGATGGAGGTAGTTTAGAATTCCTTCTACTTGGGAGGGAGAGATAGGAGGATTGCAAGTTCAAGGCCAGTCTGGACAGCATGTTTAGAACCCATCTCAAAAAAAAAAAAAAAAGACTTCTAATTCTATAGTTTGTTGTCATTGTTTCTAGTCCCTAAGTAGGGAACAGGAGCATTTACCTCAGAATTGCTAGAAATATGTATTATGTTTTCTGTCATGAAAGCATGTTATTAAAAATGTGCAAGCTCGCTTTTGATTGTTCTGTTTGAATATTCCAGTTTACAATCAAAAATTATATATTTATAATTGGATTTTTTTTAAATTATAGGAGCAATTTACAGCAATGAGGGATTTATATATGAAGAATGGCCAAGGATTCGCACTAGTATATTCTATTACAGCTCAGTCCACATTTAATGACTTACAGGACTTGAGGGAACAGATTTTACGGGTTAAGGATACAGAAGATGTAAGTATTTTTCTTTTATATGCTGCCATCTCTCTGTGGCCAAATAAGGTGTCTGATTTTTCATCAGTAGCTGATTTAGAAGGAATCTACCACATGCCAAGAAGAGCCCCTATGACCAAAATAAATTTTAACTTTCAAAATTAACCTACAAATAATATGCTGAGATGTTTAGAAAATGAGGATAAAGAACTTGTACTGTGTGGAATAAAAAGTATAGTGGAGGAAGAAGAGAAGTCAAAAGTAATTCATAGAGTGGGTCTCAAGTTGAGCTTTATTATGTCAAAAATAGGGTTCAAGAAACATGTTTCTAGGTCTAAAATTCTGTTTGTATAGTTTTTATTTACATGCACTTTTCCCCTTTGAATTATGTTAAAGATTTTAATTAACTGGATTTTAGAAGTTTTTAGTTTTGCTTTAGAAATCAAGAATAGCATTTTGTTGGTGGTGTGTATCTTTTTTTCTTTTGCAAAAGTAAAATATATATTCTACTTGTTTACTGTTGTTATGAGATAGAGAATTTGTTTTCAGTAGTATAAATTTTCAGTTGTACTTTTCTGACTCTGTGTCTTCTCTAATTCTCAGAGAAAACAGAACCTTAACCTTGGTAATGTTATAGGTGGGAGGGACTTACGCCATATGTCTCATGACCACTCATAACCTAATGAATAGTTTTTTCTTTCCCATGACTGATTTATCTAAGAGAGTTCTGTTTTCATAGGCAATGAGCTCTGGTAATGTTAATCCCTTTACCCCATGTAATAAAAGAAAAAAGATGGAGCTGTAGAGCCTAGTGCATTTAGTCTGACTGTTGACAATTACCTATTTTAGGTAGAAGGTCCACTGTGTCTCTTAAATTCTTTCTTTTGTATAGTGTCCATCAACTCACAAAGACTGTTCTTTGAACACCTTCACTGAGGAAGTTAACAGCATGTTAGTTACTTTTTTACTGGAAGTAGGAAGTTGTGGGTAGATATAGCCTAGCATCTATGATATGGAGGAAAATGGAAAACATAATTGCAACAGACACTAGTATAGCAGTATGTAAAAAAGTGGATGTGGAACCGATGTGAATCTGCAAGATGTATATGGGGTAAAAATGGGAGTTCATGATCTGCTTGAATCAAATGTATGAAATATGATATGTCAAGAGCTTTGTAATGTTTTGAACAACTAATAATAAAAAAAATTTAAAAAGAAATAAATAAGGACCAAAAAAAAGAAAACATAATTGCTTTGTGGCTTTATTTTTATTGTTAATATACCACTTTAATATAGCACTTGAATAATCTTCAAATCTAGATGTCGAATGTAGAAGTAGAAGCTGTTACTATGTTGGTCTTGTCACTACTTTTAGCATTTATTAGACCTGTTTAATGAAGCATTTAAGTTACATAGACCTAGTGCATACATTCTTCTCTAGTGCAGAAGGTTCCTTTTCCTTCAGACTTTTCTACTTCAAATTCAGCTATATACAGTAGTCCCCATGAGAATTTGGGGATATAGTCTTAAAGTAACTTAACATATGACTCTAATAGGATCTCTTCCATTTTTTTTTTATCTTTTCCCTCTCATTCTATTTTCTGCTCCTCCACCCAAACATACATTTTTTAAGAAATTGGTGAAGTTCAAACACATTTCATTTGATGGCAGGTAATTGCTTATTTATAAAGAGGCTAAATAATGAGTATATTGTTGCTCATTTCTTTTTTCCTTCGTACAGGTTCCAATGATTTTGGTTGGCAATAAATGTGATCTGGAAGATGAGCGAGTAGTTGGCAAAGAACAGGGCCAGAATTTAGCAAGACAGTGGTGTAACTGTGCCTTTTTAGAATCTTCTGCAAAGTCAAAGATCAACGTTAATGAGGTAACTACAACTGCTGGACAGCACAAACATATGCCTTTCTAGTTTTCTTTAACAACCATCTTTTTTTTTTTTTAAGAAAAATTTTGGAGCAATAATGATTGCATCACTTTATAGAACATACTAAGTAATTCCTAGCAACTATATTTCTTAGCTTGCATAAGGTCACTTTGATAGCAGTAATGAGGATACTTAAGTTTATCTTATTGTCAAAAAGGCTGTTAAAATTAAAGAATATGTATGAAGATCTGTTAAGCCTTTAAATAATATGTCAGAAAGTGGTGTGTGAAAATTGTCACAATACCCTTATTTGTAACAATTATCTATCCAGATGCATGTAAATAGACTATAAAGTCAAGTAGGATAGTACAAAATCAAAGTTGTTATAATGAACCTTCACTACCACAGAAAGAGGTTAGTACCTTTGTGAATACCTCAGAATTTGATGCTTTGCCTTTAGTGCATGCAGAAAAGTGGGGAATCTATGAGGATGGACATGTCACTAGAATTTACTGTCCTTTGTGCCTGATACAGCAAGTGCACAAGGCTCTTTTTGGTTCCTGAATTAAGGACTCTGCTTTCTTGAATATAACTGTGGGCTAGAGTGCTTTAGCAAGTAAGCTATGTGCCTGGGTGCCTGGCTCTTTATAAAGGACCAACTTTACTGATTCCCTGAGAAAATCAGTACAATTCTCAACTAATCTCCATTAATCAAACAAAAACTTAAGTAATTCCATTTGCTTGTATTAACTTTACCATAAACATTTTTAAAACAGCAACAACAGAGGGTCCTCCTTTCCTTTCCTTTCTTGTTTGCTTGCCATTTGTAGCATCACAGTTAGTCAGAATTCAGATCACTTAAAACACAGACTAACAATAAGAAAACATGCCAAGCAAGGTGGCATACACCTGTAATCCCAGTGACTTGGTAGGCTGAGACAGGAGGATTTAGTTCAAAGCCAGCCTCAGCCACTAAGCAAGGCACCAAGCAACTCAGTGAGACCCTGTTTCTAAATGAAATACAAAATAGGACTGGGGATGTGGCTCAGTGGTTGAGTGCCCCTGAGTTCAACTCCTGGTAACAAAACAAAACAAAACAAAAGAGTAAGAGAAGGTATTATCTGAGTTCTGTGTTTTTGCTTGCTGTTTCTCTCCCTGGTCTGTGATTCTTGAGGTCACTTTTTTTTTTTTTTTTTTTTTTTTTTTACTAATATTATACTTCTAGACTACTATCTGACTTTCTAAGCAACGAAATTACTTTAAATACCTGGCAGGGAAAAAAATTTCAACATACTCACTTACTCTTGTTTCTTAAAATAATTAAGAATGCCAGCTGGGTGTGGTGGTACATACCTGTAATCCCAGTGACTTGGAAGGCCAAGTAGGAGAATCACAAATTCAAGGCCAGTCTTGACAATTTAATGAGACCATGTCTAAAAATAAAAAGGGTTGGGGATATTGCTTAGTAGCAGAGCATCCCAGGTCTAATCCCAGTACTGAAAAAGAAGAAGAAAAGGCAAGCTTGCTTTTTTAGATGAAACCTTTTTTTTTTTTTTTTTTTTTTTAGACAGGGTCTCACTAATTTGCCCAGGTTGGCCTTAAATTTGCAGTCCTCCTGCCTAGCCTCCTGCGTCACTGGGATTATAGGCATCTGCTACTACACCTGGCAGGTGAAACCATTTTTAATGAGTATGAAAACAAGAAAGTTTTAAGTTCCATTTATTCAGCAAATATTTATTGAATACCTACTGTGTTCTTGGCACAAGGGTAGGCACCTAGGTAATAGTCATCCAGACTGACACTTTTCCCACCCTTAAGAAGTTTACCTCCTAGTAAGGGGAACAAGTCCTGCTGAGTTCTTCAATGACAGGTGTTTCTTATTCACTGCCAAGTAAATGAAAGGAAATTTGATAATATATCCAGCTTTAACTTTCTGTACTGTAGAATTATAATTTCCTAAAGGTTATTTTGAAAAATGTAGTATGATAAAATTCTAACTTTTATTGCAATTTTATGTAGAAGAAAGAAAAGGTAACTTTGATAAATAACACATTAAGACTGGTATTTACCAAGTAAATTTTACTTGGTTAGTGAAACAGTGGTATAAGGTCAACTTTTGTAGGATTGTTGGTTTAAGGATCCATTCCTTACTGTCCCTGACCTTACCCTCACTGGTTCCCACCCCCAACTTCATTGAGTTCTGGTGCTTAGTTGGGCCAGGGTCCAGCACACAGGGCCTCTTCCGGTGAGAGCCACAGTACAGCGGGGAACTGTTCCTCATCTTTTGTCACTGCATGCAGTTTCAACATAGCAAACTTTCACAGCAGTCTTGTTAAAGTCAACCCTTGAAATGAAGGTTTATAAAACAAAGGTCAAAAACCAATAAAACAAAATAAAAGGCACTAGCCATTTTATAAGAATTTTTACTTTTTTTGAAAAAATTTAAACTTTATGCTAGAAATTCTTGTGAGTATAATTTGGGATATCTCTCTCTCTCTCTCTCTCTCTCTCTTTCTCTCTCTCTCTCTCTCTCTCTCTCTCTCTCTCTCTCTCTCTGTTTCTCTCTCGTTTCTCTCTTCATATCCTAATAATCCAGCAACAGGATTCCTTTGATAGTTCATAGTTTCTCAGATGGCTTAAGCTGTCTTTTAAATGTTTGTATGATTCCAAATGCCTGAAGATAGAAGGATAATACTTTCATAAGATTCAACTTTTGGCCTTAACTAGACAAGGACATACTGCTTGGCTAAGCTCTCTAATTTTCTGATTTTTTTAAAACTCTTTTCCACACCACTTTTTGTGTTCTAAATGTAGTATGTAGCTATTCCCAAACCACATCAATCCTAATCAAGAATTAATTGTTCTTTGCTGAAGCTGGAGTAATAATTGGAATCAAGACGTCCCAATTTAGGAATGGGAGAGGGATTGAGAAACTTTATTCTGTGTTCCCTTTAGATTTAGTTCAGAGAGATGAGGAAGAACCTAGGCTGGGGACTTTCAGCATTTCTAACCAAATATTATAGTTCGAACTTGTCCTCATCACTGAACCATCTGCTGCTGTGAGGTAGGCAATGTTTTCCAAAGAAATAACTTAAAATAATACTACAAAAATTAGTTACCTTTGTGTATAATATGTGCCAGAGACTGGAAACTGACTGGCATGAAGAAACTGAAATAGAAACTACACATATGTTTAATAACTTAATGTTGTGGTTTACCATTTTATTAATTTTCATATTATAGTTTACACTTGAGCCTCAGGAACTAATGAGAGCTCATTCATGGCTTATGCATGTTAAGTTCTTGAAGGCTTCGAAGTTGAAAACAGTTTGAATTTTGGAGTTGTAAAATCAACTACCATTTTATTCATCAATTCTGTGTTTTTCTTAGAAATAAAATTATAGTTAAGTGGTTTCAAGAAGATGGGAGTGGGGAGGATGGAGCAGAAAAAAAAGAATATAAATTATTTACAGCTTTGGAATATATCACTCCATATTTTTTGCCTTTTTAACAATGTAATATTTTGACCATTTAAAAAAGTAAATAGATGATTGTTTATCATCTAAATGTAATGTGACTACTTACTATCTTAATTACAGGTCAATAATTTTAAACTATTTTAAAATGTACTCTAAAGATCTAAGAATAATAAATTTCTGTGTACTTTTTATTCAGATTCTTCAGTTATTAACATTTTGCCACAGGTTTGTAAAAATAGTATTCATTTATTTCTAAATAGTTTAGTATGTATATCCTTGAATCAAAGACATTCTCTTACATAGCCACAACCAAACTATTAAAATCAAGTAAACAAGGACAGGGTAAGGACGAAGAGCTTGAGAAGAAGATTTACATTAAACAGGGATGAGAAAAGGGGAGGGGAGGGGA